TGAATCCAAGACCCATGAGGCAGGATGCTTACTTGCTCGCATCCTTATTAGGATTCACCTATATGTGTGTAGTTGTGAGGCCGCGACTATGGGATCAGGGCTGCTCCCTAGTAACACACATGAAAGATACCTGCGCAAGGCCGATAATAGCGCAACCCGTTTAGAATTCTTCAAAACTGTACTATGTGTGCTTTCTGTAGAAATCCGATAAATGAGACTGGTTCAAGGCGAAGTCCACCAAGCTCTCACGGATCTATACAACTGTCACTAAGTGAAGGTTCAAACCGAAAGGTACCTCCACCTATTACATAGTATAAGGGAACCAGCAATCGTATTTATTTCTTTTATTGTTATTTCTGAACTATTTTAAGTTTTAAGTTATGTGGGGGATTGTTGGAATTATATAATAAAAGATAACTTAAAACTTGACTTTGTAGAGGAAAAGAGGGAAAGTTTAGTCCCACATAGGAAATGGGATAGAAAAAAGGGGTCCTTATAAGCCTTCCCTTTCTCTCCTATGCCTAGAAGAAAACAAAGGTTATGCTCCACACCACACACGCGCGCGCCGGCCGGGCCGGGCTCGGGCTCGGGTTCGGGTCGGGTCGGGTGGCGCGCGCACACGACCTGCGGACACGAATGCAGCTCCGGATTAATGGGCCCTTAATCTGCTACATTTTTATTTTTAAATAATTAAAATATAATTTTTATTTTTGAACAATTAACATGTGATAAATATTTTGTAACCGAAATATTTTGTAACGGAAAATATTTATTAGTGTGATTAAAAACGTGATAAACATTTTGCGAATTAATTATGTAACGGAAATGTTTTGATAACGGCTAAGTTTTATTAACGTGATTAAAACCGTGTTAATTACGGGGTTTATAAGTAACGGCTGTTTTTCCCTATAAAAGGATCTAAAATCCGCAGAGTTTAACACAGCGAAAAGCAACAACCTCTTCTTCACCTTCTCTGTTCTTCTCTTTCAAAATACTTACTGTTACAATTTGCTGGTTCCCTGAAAGTTTACGAAGAATTCGCAAAGCCTTCTTGAAGCTCGTGCCGACGAGAAGGAGGTCGCCTGACCGAGGGTCGTTGTATCTCCGGGAGCTTTTGCCGCGTAGCCCTGTACGAGAGGGGGCAATTAGTTTCTTGGGACAGTGCTTGCACGCCTCGACCATCAGGCCGTATTTCTAACCTCTATTTACTTTTCATTTGATATATTTCTTATATCTGCGTTATAATAGTAATTATCTGTTAATTATCAAATTGTTTAAACTGATTTTCGTTATTGTCTAAACAGCTAATATTCCCAACAATCCAAGAAACTAATTGTGTGCTGTTTAGAATAGTAACATGATTAACATTCTGGTTTTTATGTTAATGTTGTCTGCAATTCTTAAAAACGAAATGTTACAATGCATGATTATTCTGTTGAATGAATGCTTTATATATTTCTGCTGCATTATAATAACAAAAATATTCATTCATCATCAGATTATGGCTACAAGTGAAGTTATGTCTGCTAAACCAGAGAAGTTTGATGGGAATAATTTTCGTCGTTGGCAAAACCAAATGAGATTTTGGTTAACAACCCTACATCTAATAACAGCCATAGAACCAGATAACCCATTTACATTCATAGTATAATTGGGTTGTGAGATTGTGTATCTTAGAGAGTGAGCTTACAATTCGTTCTCATCCATTGTAGAGAACAAACACTTTGTATTGAGCCTTAATTGTGAGGATACACTTTGTAATACACTTGTACACCAAGAGAGAAGTGTGTGGCGAGAGTCGGGGATCGTCCCAAGAGGAGTGGGGTAGGTGACGAGAGGTTGTAATTCCTAACACTTGAGGGAGACACGTCTAGTTCCAACACTTAGTGGGTGTAGAGTGTGATTGCAAGAGTGTTGATTGTAAAGTTTTCGGTTAGCTAGAAAACCGAGTGTGAGGTGTAAACGTTATTCGGGTGAACGTAGAAAACCCGGTTGTGATAGTGGAGATCTCCTCGAGGTGAGGAGCGGGGACGTAGGTCGTGGGGACCGAACCTCGTAAACATATCCTTTGTTTGTGTTTGCATTGGCGCACTTGTTTTCATGTTCATATCTTACATCGCCATTGTGTATTGCTTGTTGATCATTTTGCCCTATCACATTTGTAGTTAATTTGTTTACCCCTCTTGTTAGTTTTATATATTCGTTTGTTCATATTGCTTATCCTAGCTTACATATCTTGTTGTATTTCACATTTGCTAGGATAACGTATTAATTAATTTTAATTGGCATTTAATCGGATTAGATTAGCATAAGACCCTAATCACCCCCCCTCTAGGGTCTAACAGTCTTCTACATACCCGACTTGTCCATCAATAGATATATGGTCACCGAATAAAAATGAGGGTTTGACAAATTGATCCAGACCCGCAGGAGTTTCCAGATCCAGATCGGTGATCAAAGCCCTAAGGGTGGAACACTCAGCAAACCTAATTAAATGTGTTCGCTCCAAACTTGGGAAAGTGCATAAAGGAATTTCTCTGCGAAGACCAAAAGCTCTCCCCACTTCGGGATCATCAGTGTAGTTGAAATGCTGCTCCGGCAGAAGCGGCACATCGGGAAAAAGCACTGTAAAATCAGAAGCAATAGTTAGTAGCAGAAAGAGGTTGCTAACATGAAATAAACACGAAGAGTAAATTCTACGTGGCAAGTTTTTTAAATACAAGAGCCAACCCTTGTATTAATACTTGAACGCAGAGGGAAAAACCCTGCGTTACAGCACTTGAACGCAGAGGGCCAACCTTGCGTTACGACACTTGAACGCAAAGGTTGAACCCTGCGTTGTGATATTCAGACACAGAGGCCAAGGCCCGTGATCAAACATAGGAGTCTTAACTCTATGCTTCCTTAAACGCAGAGTCATAAGCCTGTGTTTCCAATTTTTAACACAGAGTTCTAACTCTGCGTTCCCAATTCTAACATAGAAACTTAACTCTATGTTTCCTGAACGCAGTCTTAAGTCTGCGTTTCCAATCTTTTTAACACAGAGTCTTAACTCTGCGTTCCCAATTTTAACATAGAGATTTGGCCCTATGTTCCTTAAACGCAGAGCCTTAAGTCTGCGTTTCCAATTTGTAACACGGAGCCGTAACTCTGCGTTCATGGTAAGAATGAGTCATCTTCCTCGTTGAGGAGAACCCATCTAGGGTTTTCAGAAAACTTGTCGAAACAAGTAGCCACGGCCACCGCTTACCACAGCACCGAGGTCCATGTGACAGCGACAGCAATGCCGAAGCACTCGTCAGAACAGCGACATCGCCGGCTTTCTCGGCCGGCGGCGCCTCCGAAGCCGTCTTGGCGACTTTCTTGGAACCCGCACTCATCCTCCTGGGCGCCATGCGGGTGGTTAATCGGAGAAGACGGAGTTTGTCGGGAAATCGACCGAAATTGAAACGAGAATTCTCATTCTTGGAACTAAGCAAGGCAAAAAGAGTCAAATAACTCTTGATGTGACCTTACAGGCCTATTTATAACAGCCGTCGGGCTGTTAAATCAGATCGGGACTCTAAGAGAGAATCCCAACTAAATCTAAAATGTGATTTTCTACGTTAACGGATAAAGTCGGTTAGACTTTAATGCAGAGTTACCTCTGCGTTCAAATTCTTGAAACGCCAGGCCTAGATCTGCGTTGCAATGGTTCTTAACTCTGCGTTTCGAACCTCAAACGCAAAGGTCGCCTCTTTTGTGATGCAATTATCCTAAACAAAGGATCCACCTTGGTATTTTTAAACATGATACTTATTTCAAAAAGTTCATGAACCCTTTTAATATGACATTATTAAACCTTGGTATTTCCTCAGCAGGGTTTAAATCATCGTCAGGTTAATATTACACCTCAGACGGATGTTATATCCCACAGAGCTTGAGTTTTGTTTACATCGTTGTAACAATGATTCCTCTGTCAAAATCCACTTATTGATTCTCATCAAAAGAACAATAAGTCTCCAAAATCATTCAAATCATGATCAATTTACTAACTCTCCCTAACAGAGTAGTAAATATTCAATTTATCGGCTCTCCTTAATAGAGTGATAAAATTCTTAAAATCTTGTTCAAATCACAAGTATCACAATTCATCGCTCCAATGATGAAACACTTAGCAGTCTTCCCCAACGAGACGCTACAATATTCTTTCCCCCACAGATGTCACGTTAACACTACACCTCTGACAAAAATCCACTTATCGACTCTCTCCAATAGAGCGATAAAAATCCACTTATCGACTCTCTTTAATAGAGCGATAAGTCCTCAAAATTGCTTCCATAGCAATATTCCTTTTGTCACGTTAACACTACACCTCTGACAAAAATCCACTTATCGACTCTCTTCAATAGAGTGATAAGTCCTCAAAATTGCTTCCATAGCAATATTCCTTTTGTCACGTTAACACTACACCTCCGACAAAAATTCACTTATCGACTCTCTCCAATAGAGCGATAAGTCCTCAAAATTGCTTCCATCGCAATATTCTTCTTGTCATGTTAACACTACACCTCTGACAAAAATCCACTTATCAACTCTCCCTAATAGAGTGATAAACCCTCAAATTACGCTGATCGCGATTGCTCGCATGTCAGAGTAAAATCATACCACTTATAAAGATTAATCTATTGATTCTTCCCAATAGATCGATAGATCTCCAAATCTCTGTTATGTTAACAAATCACCTCTAACAGTTCTAACCTGTTTGAACCAGTTAATTCTTCTACAAAGGAATAACGAGTGTTCATATACCCCCCCAACAAGTTAAAGTTTTTCTAGAATTATCTTAGATGGTAATAAAGGAAATACAAAAGATTGGGTATTTTTCCATTGTTGCAAGTCAGAACACGACACATGCAATAAAAAGAGACAAAACAGAATCACTTTTTTTGTTATCATCAAAAATATTGAAGAGTGATACAAAAACCCTGTTCTTATCAAACAAAAAGAACAGTACATGATTAAGCCTCAGTAAAAGTGAAATACACGAGCCGGGATCTAAGTATAGCAGCACCAGAAGCGTCCACAGCATGTTGCTTCTGAATGCATTGCCCCTGTACGGATGCAATTTTAAGTTCCCTTTCAGTAATGGCTTCTTGAAAAGATTCGTATTGGCGGGCCGCCTCAGCTTGAAGATTACCAAAGACTAACGCAGCCTGAGCAGCAAGATCAGCCTGATGCAATTCCTCCAAAGCTCTCAGATCTTTTTCCAACCGAGAGATGCCTTCAGAGCAGTGCTGGAACAATCGAGCATCATCCACATATCGAACGTTGTTCAAAGAGTTCATGAGTATTGGTTTGAAAAAGTCGAATGAAGCTCGTCCAGCACTGATCTCCTCAATCGCTATCTTCATCATATCTTCCAACGGTCGTAGAAGAGCTTTTAGAATGGAAGGGATGGCCACTGGACTTAGAGACTTCATCGGAGATGTCGATGGGGAGCCTAAAAGCATAGACCCTGATGCAAAAGCAGTGGGTGATGATCGTGAAGAAGTCGGAGAAGCTATGGTGATATCCAATTGCGAGGGACTGGAAGGTAGAGCCATGAGTGCCCCTTTTTGGGTTGAGCTTAGCACGATCTCCGTTCCCACAGGTTTGAGAGGAATCGTCAGCGAAAGAGGTTCTTCTGGTAAAGAACTTGTCGTCACCGACATTGATTCGAAGGGGGAAACGTCTGCTGCTTGCGGGTGGAGAGACGATGGCGTACCAGCAGCCTCAGGAGTTGGAGAACCTACACAAAAGAATAGTCAATATAAAGGAAAGAAACACCAGAGAAATCAAAGTGTATAATTTCTACCAGTAGGGTAAAAAGGAAGATAACCAGACGCCTTGTCAGGAGGTGGTGGTGGTTGATGCGCCCAATCATAAAAGTCATCATCATCACTGTCATCCTCATCAGCATCATCATCATGGTGAGACGAGCTCCCATAGTCTAATGGTTCGTCATCGTCAGTGTCATCCTCATCAGCATCATCATCATGGTGAGACGAGCTCCCATAGTCTAATGGTTCGTCATCGTCAGCAGCTGAAAGTCCAGGAGAGCTCGCGGTCGTATCCACTTGTGTCAGCCGGCCAGTCGTGGGACTCGGAATATTAGTCCCCGAAGGTGGCAGTAGTATAGAGGAAGCGGGAGACTGACTCTCATTAAGATTTGCAAATTCATCTGTCGCCATTTCATCTGTAGGCAGTTTAACCCCTTCAGACGGAGACGTTGTAGACAGTACCCCTGCAGGTGAAGAAGCAGCACCAAGAGTTTGATCTGGAAATGGTGAGATATCGGGATCCGTTGCAGGAGAAGCCCCCATATCCCCACTTGGGAATTCATCTCCACCCTCTGCTTGATCCAAGGGACGGTGAGGGGAAAATCCTTCAGAAAATGTAGATCCCCCAGAGTGAGGATCGGCACGATCAGGGCGACTTGCAACAGCTGATTCTTGCTCTTCCCCTCCACTAGCAGATTTGAAAGCACCCGCCATTAGCTTCTGAGCAGGAGGATCTACTAGCAGCTTCCTACGAGTACGTGCAGATTTGAAAGCACCCGCCATTAGCTTCTGAGCAGGAGGATCTACTAGCAGCTTCCTACGAGTACGTTTCTCATATTGGGCTTCTTCTGCTTCAGTGAGAGCCCTCTTTCCAGTTGCTTTGGTTCTTGGAGCTTCAGCAGCCTTCTTCAGTTGCATCTTCAAAATGTAAAAACTCGTCGATCCCCTTCAGACGAGATACACGACCACCTCCTTTCCGGGATGAATACATCTTTCTAATCTCACGAAGGCCTGAAGTGTACAGTTTATAATCTGGCATCATAGAAGCTGTATGATACCAGTTACAGAAAGCCACGGAGAGAAGAGAATTAGGTGTTTTGTGGGGCAATCTGAAGGTAGCCCCAGTACAACCTGCGGTGGAATAATACCAGGCTCGAGCTCCTTCGTATATGTTGCCCATAACTGAAAGCTGGCTCCTCGGATTTCCAACGTATAGTTGGTCGTATCCGAATTGGCGAGCAAATCGATACGGTTGATAGGGCTCAATTATACATTTGTCATTTTGCCTGAAGAGGAGATAACCAGGTCTAATATTTAACAGCCAGTGGAAAACTCCCCCGTCCAAACGGGTGAAACCATTAGGACCAGCGGTATCTTAGAATACCTGTCCATATCCTCCACCCTCAAAATCCGGGAAGCAGCGGAAGATGTCATAGCTGAGATCTCTCGACAAAATCTGACGGACCCTCACTACGTAAGTGCCTATCCAAGTAGCTTTTTCTAATCTCTGCACGAAAGGGATGAAGCCTTCATCCGTAGCAGAGGGAGCACTCATCAAATGTACACAATGCGAGGCGTACCAAGCCATTAGATATGTATACGGCAAGGGTACTCGAGGATTGGGAGTCACCAAGCTTTTCGTCCCTTCAGAATCTATCTCTTTCACTTGGATAAACTCGAGGCATAGTTCCCTCAAACCGTGTTGTAAACAGCACGTCATAGCGGAAAGTAGATTTATGGGTCTCCCATGTGCTAAGAGGACGGCCGGATAAGCTACTTCAATCATCACAGCATCTATTGGTCTGGTAGGAACCACACACCGCTTCAGCCACAGCATGAGAAAACCCGCTAATAATGCCATATCAGAGATGGGAGTGGCTGCCTGGTGATGGAAGCTCTCGAATTCAGTCTGTGCTGGGAAGTCATCTTCTATTCCCTCGCTGACATAGTGAACGGTGGCGTCATTGATCAGAGCCTGGATGGTCTCAGGGGTGCTCGCCTCCCGACGAGACACAGCGGCATTCTTGTCAGACAAATTTTGGAAAAGATACTCGGCCCAGGATAGCTGTTTGATACCACGTCCTCGTGCCCCCGTCAATTGGCCGCAGATTTGGAAATGACACATCACCTCCCATAGAGTGTCATATACCTCGGGGATGGTCTCCTTCAAGATCTTCAGCTCAGTTGACCCAGGGACAAACTCTTCATATGGTAAATCTCCGAAAGGAAGACCTGAGACATCGAACATTTCATGTAGGGCGAACCCTAATTCTCCTTCCGGTGTGAAAAACGTACAAGTCTCTGGATTGTACCGTTCCAGAATGGCGAAGAAGTTATAAGGACTAAGAGCGATACCGTATTTGGTAGCCGTAATGGGGCAACCAAGCCCAGATTGAGCTAATGGTTCCTTTAATTCTGCCAACACGAATTCTATCATTCGTGCCCACCATCTTGCCTTGGTGGAATGTACCCATCCAGGAGCTCGAAATACTGCAGTTGGGAATTCTCCTTTGGCGGTCAAAAATCGTCGCATGAAGGTGTTAGCTGGGCTAGCTGTTTCTCCTAAAGGATATCCCCGTGAGAATAAGCAGGGTTCTAAGGCCGACACTTGTCGATTATAACCGGCGGTAGGCAAAGAAGTTATATGGACTAAGAGCTATTCCATGTTTAGTAGCCTTAATAGGGCAAGCAAGCCCAGATTGAGCTAATGGTTCCTTTAATTCTGCCAACACGAATTCTATCATTCGTGCCCACCATCCTGTCTTGGAGGAATGAACCCATCCAGGAGCTCGGAATACTGCAGTCGGGAATTCTCCTTTGGCAGCCAAAAACCGTCGCATGAAAGTGTTAGCTGGACTAGCTGTTTCTCCCAAAGGATATCCTCGTGAGAATAAGCAGGGTTCCAAAGCCGACACTTGTCGATTATATCCAGCGGTATTCACACCCTTGTGAGTCAGAACTCCAACAGCTACCCCATCTTGCTCTCTCACCAAGTCCCAATTCATGTGGCGGGGAATAGAAGCGCATTGGTAATAAGAGATGGGAAACATCCTGTGCATGTCAGGGAGGAAAAAGCGACGGTCTCCGATCTGCCTAAGCCACTTGTAGTGACCGCCGTGCACGATCTCCTTTGAGATAGTGACGCGATCCCCAAATAAAAAAGCTAGCTTAGCGAGTTTCTTACGGGACCCAGTCTCAAACTTAGCGTCCGTAACTAAAACCCTGAGTACATCTGTACTTGGATCTGAGACCAGGGTGACACGATCGTTGTCAGTGTCTTGGAATATTGGGAGTTCTTGACGCAGATTGAATTGCATGTTAAAGTCCACGCCTCCCCCATGCCCGAAGTGGTGACGAAGATTGAGAGGTTCGCGGGTGTAAGGCACTGCAAAAGAAAGAAAATTATCAGTTCAAATCTGGCGTTTAATTTTCATCAACGACGCAGAGGTCAAACTCTGCGTTAAGTGTTCGAACGCACAGTTCAGACCTGGCGTTAATCTTCATCAACGCAGAGGTCAAACTCTGCGTTAAGTTGTTGAACGCACAGTTCAGACCTGGCGTTAATTTTCATCAACGCAGAGGTCAAACCCTGCGTTAAGTTTTCGAACGCACAGTTCAGACCTGGCGTTAATTTTCATCAACGCAGAGGTCAAACCCTGTGTTAAGTTTTCGAACGCACAATTCAAATCTGGCGTTTAATTTTCATCAACGCAGAGATCAAACTCTGCGTTAAGTTTTTGAACGCACAGTTCAGACCTGGCGTTTAAAATTCATCAACGCAAAGGTCGAACTCTGCGTTAAAGTTCAGACCTGGCGTTAATTTTTATCAACGCAGAGGTCAAACTCTGCGTTAAGTTTTCGCACGCACAGTTCAGACCTGGCGTTAATTTTCATCAACGCAGAGGTCAAACCCTGCGTTAAGTTTTCGAACGCACAGTTCAGACCTGGCGTTAATTTTCATCAACGTAGAGGTCAAACCCTGCGTTAAGTTTTCGAACGCACAGTTCAGACCTGGCGTTAATTTTCATCAACACAGAGGTCAAACCCTGCGTTAAGTTTTCGAACGCACAGTTCAAACCTGACGTTAAAATTTCACAAACGCAAGGGTCAGGCCCCTGACGTTTCGAATTCAAAACGCAGAGTCTTAACTCTGCGTTACAATAACAAAACGAGTCTTCTTCCTCGTTTGCAAGAACCCATCTAGGGTTTTCTCAAATAACTTGCCGAAGCAAGTTTGACGGCGATACATCTCGGGTTTTTCCAAGAACTCGCCGAAGCAAGTTTGATGGCCACGAAGGGCGACACTTACCATCGACGGGGGGAACCTGAGGCGGCGGCGCTGCTGCAGCAGGAGATCTTAGGCGAGGAGCAGCTTTCTTCTTGGAACCCATGGAGAATAAGGATCGGAGAAGATGAACAGGGTCATCGGAGTTGAAAATGAAAAGTCTTCGTTAAAAATCTTCCGAAAGAGAAGAGGCAAAAAGTCGGGTGACTTTTGATTTGACCCCTAGCGGTCTATTTATAGACAGCTATGTGCTGTCAAATCGGGTCGGGATTCTAGGCCTAAAATCCCGCCAAACGTGGCCTGTGCGCCTGCGTTGCTTGAGCTTCTGAACGCAGAGTTCAGCTCTGCGTTCTAACGCCCTAGCACAGAGAATCCGCCTGTGCATCTACATTGATTAAACTCTTAAACGCAGAATTTAACCCTGCGTTTCAGTTCAATAACGTAAGAAATCTATCTGTGCGTTCTAATTCAATCAGATGAATTCCTCTATGTTTAAAGCCAAGACATGGTTCTAAATAAATAGAGGGAGGCTAATGTCAGCCATCAAGGTGACTAAAGCCAAGAAGAAACAGGTGACTCCACTGAAGAGTCCATTGGATGAGTACAATTAGATTACAATCAACCAAGTTTAACAATGTCTTCTAAATTTTGGGATCCAAAGTATTCCGAATATTCGTCCCAGTCAACCGCGAACTTTCGAAAACTTTGGAGGGGGTTCTGTAGGCTGTCTAAAATTCACAATAGATAGCCGATCCCTATCAAGCCCTGATAATGGAAGTTACAATCAGACGATTTTCTAATCACTACATCCGCAACTCTGCAACCGCTATAAACACTGCCTCATCTCTAAGATGATTGATCTTGATGGCTGCGACAACAGCGTGACTAATATTATATTAGCAACTATGAGAGATGCTGATGAGCAGTGTAATGATTTCAGAAATAAAAGGTTGGACTTAGTTGGTGAGTCGCTTGGTAGAGAGCTGTGGGCAAATATCCATCTTCAAAACACTATGGATGTTGATTCCCGTCAAGCTCTCACAACGAAAGCTACAATCAAATAGCTTTCGGATCGACAGTCGGAAGGGGCAAATAGGAGACTTTTCACACAGATCGAGAAGAGTTACAATTTGACGACGCTTCCGACAGCTGATGAAAACCCTATTCCTCTCATATCTTATAACAGGCAAAGATCAATAAGCAATGGCCTTTGCAATGTCATATTAGACGAGGTTAGAAGTTAACAACCTCTCTCAAACGCAGAAATTCACTTCTGCGTTTCTCAAATTCGAAACGCACACAACCTGTGCGTTCTCCAGTAACCATCTAACTCTGTAACGCAGAGTTGAAGCACAAAACGCACATGTAACGTGCATTCTTCGACAGACTCAACTATGTGCCCCAAACTCTGGACGCAGAGTTGAACTTCAACGCACTAGCGACATGTGCATTTCTAATTTCAGAGTGCATGCGGCCTGTGCGTCTCAAATCTCCAACAGAGATTTAACTCTGCGTCCTAAGCCTTGGACGCAGAGTTAAAGCCCAGAACACCATCTGAGGCGTTTTGACTTGTTCAAACGCAAGCCGAACGGCCTCAAAACCGTTATCCCACGTTCTGAGGGATCTTCGCCCA